TTAATTTTTAAATTTATTTTATATTGTATTGTTGATTTTTTGTTTTTTTTGCTGCTCTAGTCTATTTTTATTTTGTCTAGTCCATATTTTATTTTGTTGTATTTTTTAAATTTATTTTATATTGTATTGTTGATTTTTTGTTATTTTTTTTTACTTTTCTAGTCCACGAGTCATGAAATTCATTATTTTTTTATTTTTTTAATCAACTTTATTTTTGAATATTTTATTTTTAAATGTTTTATTTTTAAATATTTTATTTTGTTTTAATTTTTAAATTTATTTTATATTGTATTGTTGATTTTTTGTTTTTTTTTCTTTTCTAATCTATTTTTATTTTGTCTAGTCCATATTTTATTTTGTTGTATTTTTTAAATTTATTTTATATTGTATTGTTGTATTTTTTAATTTTATTTTATATTGTATTGTTGATTTTGTGTTATTTTTTTTTCTTTTCTAGTCTATTTTTATTTTGTCTAGTCCATATTTTATTTTGTTGTATTTCTTAAATTTATTTTACATTGTATTGTTGTATTTTTTAAATTTATTTTATATTGTATTGTTGATTTTTTGTTATTTTTAATTAAGATAAATTTTATATTTTTATATTTCTTTTAATTTTGTTTTGTATGCAACCTGAAGTATTAGCATTCACTATTAGCATTCAAATTTACGACTTAGATAACTCGAGCATGAATGTTTTCAATAAATTTTTATAAAATATTTTTCTTCGTTTAGTACTTTCACCTACACTCCTTAAGGACTATATGTAATTGGAATTTCCAAGACAGTCAACTTCAAAAAGGAAAGTTGAATTCAATTTTTACTCACGAGGAATAATCAAAATCCAGAAATATTGCTGATATAATTTTAGTAACTTAGCTGATAACTTAGATTTGTATCTGGTGAGTTTTATACCAAAAATGATCTCATAATAGAACTTCTATTTGAATACAAAGATAACTTAATTTACGAAATTTCACGCCTTCGTCAGACGATATTATTGCGTAAATTTTATGCTATTTTATTTATTGAGCCTGAGTTGAGTACAACGATAATTTCTAGTCATGCATATTTTTTTAAGATATATATAATAAATAACGTCTAATATAACTGCATATGCACAGGTACAATTGTTTGAGTTCAATTCTGTATGCCCTTGAATTCTAAAAACATTTTGGATTTGCTTATATTTACTTATATACCATATTTGTCACATATCTCAACTTTTTTAACTTGTTTTTACTAGCAATTACAAAATTAAATTCAAAAATTGTATCACTTTTTTAAATAATCTGAAAATTATTCAAAAATAATATGCCCCTCTTTGTATCGTAGGTTTATTTTAACTTTAATTTTTCGATGCATTTTTTATTTGAATGCTCAAAAGCAGGCCACATATTGTATGCAATCAATTTAAATCATGTCTTCTGGTAACATTGAAAAACAATCGAGACGCCATATACTTATCATTCATCCATAACATAACAGAATAAAAAAAAACTGTTTTTTGAAAAAAGAATTATAATACATATGAAATATAAAAAAAATAGTTTAAAGTACTGGGGTCTTATAAGATTAATAAAATGCAAAATAATTATCACTCTAAGTTCATAGCATTAGCTGACACTTACCGTGAATATTGCTGCCATACAGATTTAAAGCCAAATTAAAAATAAACGTTTCATTTCATTTGAATCGTTCATATAATGTACAAAAGATTTCTACGATGATTACATTAAGTTAAATTTATTATATTTATTTAATTCACTAGTCAAGTTAATTCATATACTTTTTCATGTTAGCCACACAGTGTTATTTTAAGTTACTACGAATACAAAACATATCATTGTCGTATCTAGTCAGGGACGATTGAGCCAGTGAACCATGCATAATCAGTAGACAAAAAATTAATTCAAAATTCGATATTTGTCGACTAAGAATTTTTTTAACCCCAGCTAAAAGTAGATATTTTCCGGGCTGCAGCTTAAGAAAATTGTTACTTTTAACTGGAGAATACACCAAAAATCACTCAAACACCTAGACAACGACTAAAGAAAACCACAGTGCACGTGCTATTTACACGTACTCTAGTTCTTTTCTTTTTTTCGTGGCCTAGAGCAGAAATATATTATATTTATATTTTTTATATTTATTTCTAATATTGATCGGTACTTTCTAGTCATAAACCAGTGATTTCTAGTCATTCCTAGTCAATTATGTTTAAAAGTCCATCAAAACAGCAGCTTAATCTAGTCGATACCACATAGTCAGAAAGTCATAGTAATAATTTTCTGTAATAGTTATTTTTAACTATTACACTCTACTCTAGGGGAACACTCAAAATTTGAAACAAGGTATTGCTTCTCAAAACTTTTGAATGACTGTTCACAACGTAAAAAGAACGTACCTATTTTCTTTCGATTGAAAAATAAGTTTATAAATATCTTGAAAGAATTATCAATTACCTAAATGGTTTGAATAATCTTTAATATTTGTCTCGAAGAAAAAAAAGTTAAAACAGCAAAAATACATAAGAAAATTCTCTAAATTACTATAAAAAAGCAATTATACGTCCTAAAAAAAAGTTGGCAAAATTCTACTTTATTTCGTAATGAATTCTATTTAATTTGTTAATTTTTTCTGATATCTTACATGATTCATCTAATTCTTTGATTTTTCAAAATTACCTAAAATCAAAGGTATTTAAAAAAATCAATAAATAAATGAATAAGTACAACTTTCCATTTGTAAGGTCATCTAAAACATTTTTGAAGCTCTATCTAGGTAATGAATAATTAGTAAATTATTATTCATTATAATCATTATCATTAATTATCAAATAAGATGTGTTTGACAATATCTAATTAAGTTTAAATAACTTTGTTTAATAATGTTAGAATAGTCATTTGAATAGTAAAAGTTCAATAAAGTCATTTCAATAGTATATAGAAAAATAAAGTTGGGAAGAAATGAAGATAAATAAGTTAGAGTGTACTCTAGTCATTGAAGCTCATGGATAATTGTGTTTGAAAAGTTCGTTCATAAAAATATTTATTTTAAAAAATGCTTTTAAAAAATTCTATTGTACATAAGGTAAAACATAATCTTTCAAATTTTGAACAGCTTAGTAAAACAAATGATCTCGATCCATGAGACCTTAGTTATTAAGTTTAATTAGCATGCTAAAGTACGAATAGTGTTAAATATTTTTTCATTCACTTTTTCATTTAGGTTGTTGGGGATATAGTTGAGAAAATTAAATATTCCTACGACTCAATTGAATACTTTATATACATTAAATTTGTGAAAAATATTGTGTGAACAAAATAATCTTACAAACATTTTATTTATAATAAACAATTAATATTTTGTGTGCTCTTATATAGTGAATTATATAAAATAAATTGTAATTGTGTGTGTGTCTAATAAAAAAAATTACTGATTGAAACGTCTTGTTCATTAAAAATGTAAATCTACGAACAAGTATGAATATTTTTTTAAAAATTATTGTAAATAAAATGAATGATCTCAGCAAAATACCATCTTGTTTGAATTGAAATAATTATCCTTTCAAAAAAATAATATTTCAACTAAGATTTTGCATTGTTTTTTTTCTAAAGAACAGAAATTAGATAATAAAACGGTCAATAAGCACTTACAAATTCCTAATGCTTTGATTCAGTATTGATGGTAACATTTTTTTTATCAATAATTTCAAAATATTTTTACTAGTAATTTAAAGACATTTTCTTTAATAGGAAGAGAAATACCTTCAACGACATCTATCGTATCTAATTTACTTGAGAATATTCTGCAGTCGATAAAGAGAGTCAACTTAAAATCATGTAAAATGAGCGCAAAGATCTAAAAAAGACTATATGTTTTTGCTAAAAACATTTTTAATAAGACACAACTTATAATTTTATAAAGTCAAATAATTTGCATATCTTTTTAAACTTTTGGCCTTTGTGAACTCTTTCATTGCTCAAAAAGTTATTATTCTGATTATACACACATACTTATCATATAAATATTTATGATAAGTTAATCGCTTGGAGATATCTTTTCAACATTTTTAATTTAAAAAAGTGTCGAACATAATTTTCTTTTTTGATCTCTCCGACTATCGTATGACAAATAAAATTTTATTAGAAATTTTAATAATTTTTTTTTAATAATATTTAACAAGTTTACTCAATTTTTTGAAGAATACGGAAGTGATGATCGTATCAATCAGATTGATCCAATATTTAAAACCAAGTGCGTAAACGATTATCATTATTAGCGTGATTTGAGCAATAATGCGCAAGTGAAATGCAAAATTTCCTTCATATTTCAATAAATTTGTACGGATTTTGTTTTTAAAAGCGAACGACAAGTAATTATCAATATATTCACGCGTTTGACTATGTATATGTGTTGCGATATCTACGTATTTGAAATTTAAAAATGTAATTTTGGGTCAATCATGCTGCTTGATCAAAAGTTTAAAAATGAAAAATAAAAAATGTAACTTTTTATAGCTAACTACCGATTTATCATTTACCTCTCAATGATATCATTTCAACGATATCGGGAAACGTCAAAAATTTACTAATCTCGCACTCATGAGTAAACGATTTTAACGTAACTCGTATCGCGTTTTTCCCAAAATATTATTGTTGACAATGACGTGTGTGTCAGCAATATCATTGGAAAGCTGCAAAACGACGCCTGAAAGATGCTTAACGGTCAACACGTATGTATGCGTGAACGTATTCGTACGCTACGAACACACCAATGCAACAAATGTATACAGATATATATATATATATCTGGCGCTCGATGTTTATGATGCGCCGTCTCAATGCAGCTAACGCTCGTACATACTCGCAGTAGTCTGCGATCCGAGTCTGCGTGGGCGAGACAAGGACGGACGATCGCGCGCAATACGCACACACTCGCTTTCGCGCAGATTTCGCCTATAGCTATATGTATACACACATCGATATATATAGTTATAGCTTATAATACACAAACGCGAGAAACACTGAAGGCTACTGCTGCGCTTCTGTGACTATTATATGTGTATATTATAGTGTTATATATTGTTTGCTTGAGTCCGAGGCAAATGATTATTGCTTTCATCCGTCGTTTGATAATAACCTCGGGTGTGCTTATCAACGGTCAAGTTCCTCGAAGAAGCTTTTAGTGATTAGTTCCTCGACGCGCGACGAGGCCCCGAGCGAAGAACGGCGCAGTTCCTCGCGAGAAACAGTTGTCAAAAAAAAATCAACTCTCTGTGGCTGAGCGCACAACATAACCTGCAACGCTCGATCGTGCGCTCGTTGTTATTTTAGTTTCTCGTCGTACTTCAACTCGATTCTGGCCAAGCTGCGAGTGCGATTGTTGATTGATGACAAGTGCTTCGAGTCGCTGTTATTGTTTTTTTCATTGACATGCCGCGGCATCGCTCGTGAAGTGTCTAGAATCGAACTTAGTGCACGAGCCTCTAGGCTAATGATAATTGGTAAGAGGGATCGTTTTGTGAGATGCACTTTGCCTGATAAAACGATGCTGGAGGTCGATCATGGTTCTTTTCAACTAATTCTCTTTCTTATTTCTAGGATAAGGACATTATGATCAATGATTAATAGTTGATAAAGATCTTTTCCAATGGTTTGAGATCTAGTGTTTGGAAAGTATGCTAAACAACATACAAAATATTCATGTACATACTTATTTGAGTAGTTTTAATTAGATAACATTGTCGAAATCAATGTTCAATAATTATGATCATGGAATACTAGGTATTGTAAAGCATCTTCTAATGTCAAAATGTATTGTTGACGTTGTCATACACGTACGTTGATACTATAATATTTTCATTAGCCTTTACCAAAGTAATGCAATATATACTAATACGCTTTTAAATGCATAAGGATGAGTCTGTGCAACTGCCTGTAATACAAGTCTGATATCAATTTATTGGAAGTGGTTCCAAAATTATTTTTATGATTATGCAGTTATTGCTCATAGCGAGTGACTTATTTAACAATGAAGATCTTGAACTCAAAACAGTCAAACATGGACAATAAGTCTAAATTTGCAGATAGATTCAACGTTTTGTTGAATAATGAAACTCCAAATGGAATAGATCCTTACATATTCAATGACACAGAGCCTTACGTGGCACCAGGTGGAAAAAACATAAAGTTGATAGCTCCTAAAAACTCCAAAACACCTAGTAATACGATAAATAGACATAAGTCAAAAGGAAAATGTTTTAAAACAAAGATCAAAGCTGAGTCTTCGCTCAGTAATTGTTTTAATGCTAACACACTAACAGAAGTCAATAGCAATTCTGTAAAGTCGCATTCAGACAAATTACTCGCGCTACAGCAAAGAAAGAAGTACCTGAAAGAGTTGGAGCAATTAAAGGAAAAACGCAAAAGCCGCGATCATGATTTGTCATATTATTCAAAAGCCGGCGATGAAATATCGGACAGCGAATCGAGCGGCGACGAAGTATACGTCTGTCAACGGCATTGGTATTCGAACGAACCGGATACGACTTTATCGAGATCGGCTCGCTTATCTCTCACACGCGCCCAGTTGCAGAGGAAACTTCAGCAGTTGCAGGTGGACGACAAATTGTACACGGAAATTTTGCGAAAAAATATGGAGTCGTTAACGAAGGCAGCGGCACTAGATCCAACAACGTCAGGTCGGATATTGAACGGCTCGCCGAGCAAGAAGAGGAACGCGGAAAATACCGGACCCGCGATCGTCGGTACCACTTGCAGCGTGACGGATTGCAATCTCACGTCGCTCCCGTGCACGCGGCACTGCGCGAAACACATAATGCTGAATCCCGAGCAGCGACTGTTCGAGCATTGCACGGCCAAGTTCAGCGACAACACCCAGTGCTGCGTGCCGGTGTTCGACGTCGCCCACGAATTGCCGCTCTGCCTCGAGCACGCTCGCAAGAGGGACAACTATCATCGCAGAGCGCAGGAGTCGAAACCGAAGAAGCCGCGCAGCAAAAAGCCCACACCGCCCCCGGTGATACCGGTGACGCCGACGAACAGTGTTTGCATGCCGGTGGGCAGCGGTAGCGTAGGCAAAAACATTTGCAACAACGCCCTGGTACCGGCAGTGGCAGCGGCAGTGCCAACAGCTCCGTCAGTGGCGCCCATCAAACCGACCAAGGTGAAATCGAGACCAAAGAAAAAGAAGAGGCCACCGTCGCGAGATAAGGTGGAGGTATTCAATGTCACAACGAGCCACGAGCCACCCGAGCCAACGCCGCTTCCACCGACACCTCCACAGCAGCTGCAGCAGCAACAGCAACAGCAGCAGCAGCAGCCACCACAGCAGGCACTGCAGCCGCAACAGCAACAGCAGCTTCAACATCCACAGCAGCAGCAACAACAGCAGCAACAGCAACTACCACAGCAGCAACCACAACAACTGCAACAACCGCAACCACCACAGCATCAACAACAGGCACAACCGCAAGTTCTGCTACCGCCGCCGGATCTCGTTGTTCCGCCGATTTTGGAACCCATACCAGACACAGTACCGGCTAATCTTCTGGCCGATGAGAATCACTTTGTGAACTCGCTGATAACCGGCAATGAAATAGTTGATCAAAAGACATTGAACAATCTCAACGTTGGCTACAATCCAGCGATCATGCCGAACAACCAAATAAACAATTTGAACAGTTTAGCACTTGATATCGGCACATTGGGTCTGACTAACGAAGTTTTTGCGTCGCTGGACCACGCGACGGAGCACGAATTCGAAAATGCTCTCATTAATTTGCCCCCGGATGCTTTCAACGATCTTTTTATTGGTAAGTTGACGATCGAAACATTTTTTGTTGGCTTGAACATTGTGTCGAGGCCGATGATAATTCGTTCAATTAATTCAATTCTTAGTTTTATATTGATTTCTCTGATTCGTTTATTTTTCAGATATTGAAAGTTCAATTATTCATTCTTTGTGCTGAAAATTGTAAATTGATAAAAAATCTCGGTACTGTTAGGCCAACAAATTGTTGTTCGCCTGGCATCGACGCCATTTACAATTGTTTCATATATCTGTTTAGAAACCAGAAATGGTGAATTCGAACCATCTCGAGAAGAAGAAGAAGCTTTAGTCGAAGCATTTGAAAAAGATGTAAGAAATCTTGAACGTATGGGTACAACACATGGACTTCTTGAACCATCTCTATTGGCTCAGCTCATGTCAGACATGGCCTCATAGCCCTCGTCCTCGTAATTTTTTATTTAAGCACTATTCAGCGATTTTATTATTTAAAAAATATATATTCATTAAATATATATGTATGATTTTTCATATCGAATAGAAGCGATTTATAGTATAGGCAGCCAAAGTTTTCATGAATGTGTGGTAATATTTTTTTTTTTTACAAAATATTCATCATAAATTGTATAGAAGTGCTATTAATCACTTACTTTGAGTTTAACAATGAACAAATTTATTAATTTGATTTACTGCACATAGATGTGCGCTTACCTTACAAAAAACAAAGCGAGTGTGTTTGTCGTTGTCTAAATGTAGGTGATTATAATTTTAACATAAAAAAAATCATTAAGTAGGTTTCGAATCTTGTTATACAAATACATTAACATAGCTTTAACATAATATTTTTTTGTCTATAACTGATTTGAATGTTTGATCATCATGTACATTAGGAATGTTTTGTATACTATGTGTGAATGGAATTTTGGTACTTTAAAGGGATTCGTAATAATACATAATGATTAAATGCAAAACACTAGTTTATTTGCCAATCGCGTGAAGACCCGTTTACGAAAATTATACAGTTAAAACTCACATGCGCTTATTCTAAATACAAACAGGTATTAGAAACATGAAAAATGACTTTGAAAAGTTGAATGATCCAAATGTATAAATTGAACTTGAAAAAACATTATAACAATGTATCACTTAATGATAAAAGTTGCGATTTAGGGATATTAAATACATATATTTCTTATGTATATTCTCATTTACTAAGAAAATAATGAATTAATTTTTTTCATCAAATTAACTTATAGAATTTAGCGAGTAAGATAAAAAAATGAATTTTTCCCTAAAAAGTGAGAATGATAAATATTAATCAACTTGAACTATTGCGTGTATAATTACGTATGCGATATGCGTAATAATAATGGTTCATTGACTCGTATTTTATCATTTGTAATATGTTCGATGTATATTTAGAGAAACGCTGTCCAAGAGTCGAATATTATTTTCCGAATTTATGAATTTTTAAGAAAAAACGATAAAGATTCTGTTTAAAAATTGAAAAATTTTTAACATACAGTAAGCTTTCGGAATTCTGTTTTATTTTCATGAATCAATTTCGTTTCAAGTTTGCATGATAAATTCAGATAAATCAGTAATCTACATAAATATCATTTGTATCAGAACAAAACATACACTAATGTTATTACGAATAAATGATTATATGTAAAGTTTGCATCGATCTTTTACGGGTCTTAAAAAAAAGTCGCAAATCTTATTATAAGATTTGAAATATATATATCATTATGTTCGCTTTGAAAGAACAATTTGTAAAATGCGATCCGGTTTCCGAAAATTCGCAGATAAATGTACAGAAAAATAAGTCGAGACTGATTTACGAAGCAAATAACTTTAAAAATTCACGCTTTTAAGTAACAAAATATATGATAAACACTGTTTGTAAAAAAAGAAAACAGATACATTCAAATGCAAAAAGTAGATATATTTCCCCATATTGGGGGTTTCAGAATTAAAAGGTAGAATATTGTACATCGCTAGTTTGATCACTTTTTCGAAAGAAAAAAAATTCATTTTTATGTATTCAATGCTTTTGATATAAACCAGTCAAAACGGCAGATATCGTTAATAAACGCGTGTGAAATATCTTTACGATTAAGAGAACATTTTATTTTGTTTTTGTCTCTCGTTCGCGTTAGTAAATAGATATAGGCTGTACACATATGATCAATCGCATATGTACATGGAAAATAGCGTTATATTTTTTACATTGAATTTCTCTTTTAGATTAGTGCTTTGTGCTTTAAAATTTTCTACACCCTCAGGCTTAATAGATAATATTATTTTTTTATTTTTTCTTTCATATCTATGCATTAAATCGACCAAGAAACTTGCATATACTATTAGAGATTCTGTTTGATTGTCGTAATCAGTATTTCACTCTTAATTATTTATAATTTTTTGTATGATTAAGTTGTTTATTTGACACGATATACATGGTTATTTGTCGCTTAAACAATTTCGTCATTTCACATTTAATGTTATTTACTCTATAATTTTCCAATTCACATACTTAATTTAACGCTTGCTTTTTAATTATTGACGGTGATTTGTCGAAATCAAGCATCATTTCTACTTAGCGTCGCAGGCATGGATTGAGAATCATCGGTGTTTTTTGCGATGGCTCGCTTTTTTTCTCGCAAAACCCACTTTTTGCGGCTCTCCGCGCGTAATTTTTCGTTACAAATGTAGGCTCGCGTTCTCTTCGATGAGAATGGCTTGGATAATTCTAAATCTGTTCCGCTTGCCGGCAACAGTGTCTCGTAGTCATCGGCTCCCTGTGGTAGCGGAGTATAAGTAGACAGAAAAATTACCAATTTATTATAATATGGATGATAATTCTATATTTTTGAAATAATATAAGCATTTTGTAATTGTCGTCGTGAATATTCAAATGAATATTTTATACTGAAAAAGAAAAAAAAATGATGAAAGGAGCATTATATTTGGGGAGAAAAATAATCCGTTCGATCGTTCAGTTAGCTGTGAAAAATCTTTAGTCATTGCTTAGAATTTTTGGTTGCACTCATCATATCACCCTCCTTGCAGCGCTTATAATATGAGTTGTATATAATCGCGTAGAATATGACATAGTTACATTATAATAATTAAACAATATAAATAAGTATATGTATAAGTTGTAGCGAGTAAGGCTTTATATATACACATTATAATCTTTGAGCAATCGTAGGTGGCTTTTTACATGCGATATATATTAATTATAATGCGCAGACACACGTGTGAGTTAGCTGTTGTTGTATAATATGCAAAACAAAAACTTAGATGATAACCATTTATACATATATTTATTCAATAAATCGTAGTAGATGACTAGGATAATGTAACACATTGTACATTGCAGGTTTAAAGAAGAAAAAAAATTGTAAAATAATTTGTAAAATATCGATTATGTCATAAGTTTAATAATGTGTAAGTAAGGTGATGCAGTAATTGCAAAAAATAAATAACAAAAAAAAAATCGATCGATATGTGAGTACATGAAAATTAAATGTAAAATGTAAAATTGTCACCTCGGTTTGGGCGATCGATTGATCGTCATCGTCTTTCTGAACGGTTGTCTGCTGCTGATCGTCGTCGCCGGCGACTGGTATGAGCAACAGGTCGAAATCTGCCCTCGGCATGCCGAGAATGCCGACTTTGATGTCCAACGCGGCCAGGTCGGCTTCGTTGGCGAGTATCGCGTTCTCGAGGTAAACGACTCGTGGGTCTTGCGACTTTTCGCTGGTCAAACCTTGATGAGGTGAAAAAAAAGAAAAGAAAAACCCAAGAGACGTGTATGCGATTGTTTGCGGAAAAATATCAACAGTGATTGAAAATCAAATGCAATCTACCAAGTGACAGGAAACGATGGTCGCAATCAGTATTGAGAAGCTCCCAAGGCATAGGTGAATTCCTCAGGATTTTTTGACGCTCTGGCAATTGTGGTCCGTACAGTATCCATTGTTCATCGACGGGCACGAGTAGTTCCTTTGCTTCTCCGCTTCGTTCGAAGCGTCTTTTAGCCGAGTTGAAGGCTTCTGTCCGAAATAGCCGATCCAATTCCAGTTCTAACGAGAATCATTAAGATTTTATCCCTTCGTTAAATTCTTCGTCGTCGAATTGCGTACAGAAAAAATTTACGAATACCGATTAATTTTTTGTGCTTTCGCCCCAAGGCTATCCAAACGATTCTGTGCGCGATCTGCATCGTTCCCTCGAAAATCCTCAGGTCTTTGGCGCCCTTGCTCTGAACGAACTGAATCTTGCCGGCTCCGACGTGATGATACCTTCGCGCCTCCCTCTGGCAAGCCGTCAAAATGTCCGCGTACTCTCGGGCCAGGCAGCACCGCAGAGCCGTCATCTCGTTGGACCTGTCGAGGCGAGCCCCGCCGGCCAGCGGATTCGGGGCTCTCTTGGCCGTGGCCGCGCGTCGCTCGCCCAGCTCCTTCCACGTGACGATGTAATCCTGGAAGTAGAGTATGAGGGCGCGCAAGAAGCGATCGACGATCGCCAGGTGCAGAAACTCGACGAGTTCGATCGTGATGGCGGTGTTGAGAAGATAGAGCACGATGTCTTTGATGTCTTGCAGGAGCACCACATCGTTGGCGCTGTTTTTCGACACTTGACGACGATAGTGGAGCCGAAATTTCGACTAGGCATATATACGAAACATGATTTGCATTTTTGGGATCGGTAAATTCGACTTGGTGCGGCGGCTCGAATATTTTTTTTCTACAAGCGTAGCGTAATTTCTAAGTAAACTCGTAGAAAAGTTTGGAAAGAAAGAAGTCTATTATCCAGACACACGCGAAAACTCGCATGCGAGTAGCGTATTTTAATGTCAAAATCTAACATTGAAAAGTAGATCAAACATATCAAATTAATAAACCCCGAGCACGAAGCGGTTGAATGTCAGTCAAAAGCTCGTCGCGAATACCGCTCAAGAGCCTCAGCTGTACGACTCGCGTAAAAATTATTTCCAGAAAAAAAAAAGAAAGAAGAAATTCAATTATCAACGTCCTAGGTCATTGAAAGGCATATTCGTAAATTATGACCGTGTGCGGGTGTACAATCGAAGGTGCGAATTACGTTACACGGGAAGTGCGATAATAGCTGTGCATAGCTCAGGGGGTGGTGTGCAGCTTGTATAATGAGTGTATCTCTTCGCGAGGCGCCGAGCCACGATGAACTTTTCATCGATCAACTATCAAGTTCGTACAACATCGTGCGAAAAGTCGGCCGCTGGAATTGCTTCGGGCGCTTTACTCGTAATACACCTGCACGCGCGCCGTGTGCTACACCCGCGATCGAATTTATTCACGCGTGCTTGCGCGTGTTCAAAGCAGTGAGCTCGTAATACTATCAATCAGAGCATTTTTTAAATTAATAATTCGATAAGTGAATTTTTGCAATTTTTGTACAGGATGTATATAAAGAAGCCGCGCGACGATTTAACAAAATTCAAAATGTGAAACATTTGAAAGTATTTTTTAAAGTCAACAAATAAAAAGCACGAAAATCCAACCTGTTCAAAAAAACTCAAGGTTTCTTTAAATTCCAAGACCAAGTGCCTGTTAGTACCAGTGCTACTAGAATCTGCGGCTTTTACACGTTTTCTTTTACCCTTATACTTTATCTCGTCGTTAGAGTCGATTCTGCAATAATATCGAGAAGCCGAAATAACAATTACATATCATTGAAAAGTAGTTAATGTAAATTACTCACCCTGATATTGCTATTCCTTCAGTGACTTCATCCCACACGAAAAATTCTTTGTCCATGGTAATTTTGAAGTAAAATTTAGAAATTAATAAACAATAATTTAAGTAAAATACGAAAGAAAGGATAGGAATTTTGAATTGCTACATGCTAGAAGGTGCTGTTGCATGAATACTGAAGTTAGAACTGAACTGAACTATTGATTCTGTTGAGGGTGGTTGTGTATGCTACTTTGAATCTTATCATAGGTATATATCAATTTCTTTAAAATATCAAGCATAAAAAGTGAAGTTTCATTTTCAGTTGATTTAACAGAATGATTTATAACAATTTTTTATATTAATTTTCTCCTTTATTAACCTAACAAAATATTAACAAATTTAATCTTTAACAGTCATTGTGTCTTCCCACTTGGGTCTAGGTAGCGAATCTAATATTTCTTGATCTTCTTCGAATATAGCTTTTCCTGGTATTTTCCAATATTCAGGCACAAGTGGAAGTTCTTTTGAATATATAAATGTATCATGATGAATTTTGCATCTGACCTTTACAGTTTCAGTTTTGTTTATCGTTAGAGTTATGTAAAATTCTTTTCCTTCATAATCTAAATTTGGACCAGAAATAGGTTTCTCTGGTAATGTAATGGCATCGTCAGTGACAAATACATTCATTTTTCTAAAATTAGCTCTAATATGCCATTTTTCAATTGTCCATGGATTATCTACAGACAGATTCACAATCAAACAACATCTAGACAATACTTTTACCGCATTGGGAGCATACAATGAGCTATTGGTTTTTTCATCATCTTGTTCAATGTAATATTTTTTCATATTTTCCGGAGAAGCATAAACAGCCAATCCAGGTAATAAGAAGTGTGTATAGGCTTTTTGTCTCTTCATATTCACTTTGTCTCCTTTCTCTCCAACACCTTCAACATATTGAGTCAATATAATACTCAAAGGTGCTTGCTTTTTTTTGTCTCCATCAACCCTTTTGTATATGAAATCTTTTTTTTCCAATCTTCTCCCTCCAGATCCTTTTTTATGTAAACGTATTGGATATACCCTTTTCAAGATAATTGTTGTCTGAAAATATTTAAAGTCATGTCATTTGTGTCCAAGTGATTTTAGTGATCAATGAGCTTAATTCATACCCGAGTTTGCTGTGGAAGAAGGTTAGGAGTGGCATTTAGCAGCGATTTAGCGACGAACGGAGTCGCAGCGAATGCTGATTTCCACGACGCCCACATGATTCCAATTAACTTGACGATAACAAAACAAAATTACGAAAAATTATTCATTCACAACTTTGCATTGTTGATACTATTGAATTTTCTTACGGCCGGTCTGTAACAAGTACAACAATAAATAAGTCAATTTGAGGATTCAGCGTTCATACATGCGCACATGCTATTTGATCTAGCAGAAACTTTTTTTTTGACTACTCATTCGAAAAAAATCATCAGTGTGTCAGTGACACTTCATCCTTGTATTGAATGAGCTTATGAACGATGATCATTGTTGTTTTTTAATAATTTTGACGTCATCTTGTCTATGAAAAGCTAAAAAAATGACATTGGAAATTATATCTAATCACAAGTACTACAAAATTATCATAAATGAATTGAAAATGAAAAAATACATTTTTATGCATTGAATAATTTTCCGAATAAATAGATAAACGCGAATTGTTGAAAATTACATAAATAGCTCGTATGTAATTTTTTAGCGATTACCGTGTAAGATTTCGCGGTTTTATCAAACATGCGTCGTAACGTTTACATTAACGTTAACATGTTATTTCATTGAAAATCGTACCAACGGAGTAAGCCACTCTTTTAAATCGCCCAGTTGTCCTTGAAACAATAACAAAAATACATAAAAATTTTCGTGTCAACTTTACTCGCGAAACGATACGAATTTGTGCGCTAATTTTTCCCGCGGCCAAGTTGGCAAAACTGCGATATTCAGCTGATCCTCTATCTTATATATATAGGCTACAGCGTTGGGTATATAACATATGCTAGTAAGCTACAAACGGAGCTACATACACACATATCAACATGTATGCAGCACGCAACACGTTCAGCGCAGAAAACGATATATAGAGAGGTAGCGAGAATAAGAAAGAGACAGAGCTAACTCCGCTGCAGCGAATGAAGCGCCATTGCCTTAACAGTATAGTATCGCAGCGCCTCTCGTCAGCTGTGGAGTTAAAACACACACATACATTCTCACAACAAACGACAGCAACGATATAATCGCGCATTAACAAATTACATACGAGTCCGCCATTATCAATTGCGCATTGGCACTGCTCATTAAAGAAGAAAGAAAAATAAGTGGCTCTGGCCAAAAGTGACACCTATCGATGCGATGTGATCCTGCGTCTCGACGACATCGCGACACACATATATAATAATAATCAAAGTTCTCTTCGTCGTCGTCTTCGCACACGCTGCTCTGCCTATCCTATCTGTGTACGAAAAACGTCGCAAGAACGTATATATAGATATAGTATTCAGAACTACTCCGTAGACCGTACATGTATGTAGGCTCTGCGTTGCGCATTATACATAGGCGGGTTATAGCTTACAGTCGTGCTCTGACTGAGTTAGGTTTATACTAGTCAAGTGCGAGATCGCGTCAGTGTGTGAGCGAGCCTCTACAGTAATTACCCACCAACTTCAATTTTTGTCCATATACATATACGCTCCTACAATATAAAAGTCGTCGTAAATAGCGATCCTTTTTACATACATATAAATACACTCTCATTGCTACGTCTCTCTCTCTCTTTTTGTCGTGCGCTGACTCTCTTGCTGTGCGCGAAATAAGTGAGGTGGTGTGTGCAAGTGTCTCTCTCTCTCTCTCTCCTCTCTCTTCGGCCGAGAAAGAAAAAAGTCGCCAAGATTGTGGCAAACGGGAGAAATCCGAGCAACACTAGCGGACAAGCTAGTGGAGCTTCGGCAACATTGCGGACCACATCGTCGACGACAGCAGCAGCGTCAACAACAGCATCATCCACCGCTGCTCAACGAGCCGCCGACGAGTCGAGAGCCACCACGAGCTCTACATCCACCTTCAACGACATGCACACCATCTCGTCGGAGATGGGCACGAGCGTGCCCGCCTTCCTCGGCAAGCTTTGGCGCCTGGTCGAGGATCCGGAGACCGACGATCTCATATGTTGGTCCCCAGTGAGTATACCATTCGTCATTTAAAACCTGCTGTATGCGCGTTGATGTACGTTGATGCAAGTTGTGCGTGTGTATGCGTGATCGTTCGTCACGAAACGTTTGTCAAACGAATGCGCCCTGAGCTACGGTTTATTATGCTCGTGTTTCTACTTTTCTACCCTCACCCCTCGCAAAAGTCTCTCTGATTTGTTATTTTTAAAAATTCGTGCGATGTCAATCTTTTCTCTTCTTCCTAAATACGCACAAATTTTTAGTGCGTGTGGGTCTTTGACACATTGTCCGTATGCAAATGACGAGGATGATTCTCATTCTTTCCTCTCTTTCTGTCTCTTTCCCTCGTACCCGGCTACAATAATACAATCTTTATTGGTATGCACACATACACATGCAGTGCGAGCCTGTATTAAAAAGAGCTGCAGTCCCCCGCGCGCACCTTGTTTGTACACTTTTGCTGCTGCTGCTGCCTGCTATAGAGTTGGTGTATACTCCGATGTGTGCGAGCGCGTCCGTGTGAGTGTCGCGCTCGAAGCGGCCGCTCATCGCAAGCCGTTGTCACGTTTATGTACATGTGCTCTTAAGCACTCGCTCGGCATACAGCAGCGGCTGCGGCCGCCGCGTCGTGTATAATATCTCCGTCGTATCTCTTCGGCTCGCTCGTCTGTTGGCCCGCGTGCATTTACGCGCTTTCCGATGCCATAATAATCTATATACACGTATTGCACAGAGAGGCACGATTAAAATAACGTGTACACGATATATAGTCGCCGCGCTATATGTGCAGCCAACAACAATGAAATGTTTTGTTTGTCTGTGTGCGTGCATCGTGTGTACGTAATGCTCTGCCGCCGCTCACATGCGCCTCGCGGGACAATATGCTTTATATATACACACACAACATGTAGCTAATATATAAAGTGCAAGTATATATATAATACGAGGCGGTGACTTTGCACTGGACTATCGATTCCTTTGACTGCAATATTGCGACTTTTTCCGTACGCACACGCTCTCTCGCTCTTGCCGCTTCTTTACATACATCGATGCCGCCTATTATTCATATGATTCTCTGCGTATCGAGTCGTTACAAAATATACGCACACACACGTTTCAGGCCTGGGCCGACGTTGTCTTTCGTTTTGTAGAGCCTAATCGTACCTGCAACGTATGAGGACTATCTATACCGAGCCTTTGAAGACATCGGTAACGCACACAAAGCCGCGCGAGCTCGATATATTCAATGCTAAACGCGTAATTTTGCCTTTTTATGTGCAATATCTGTTTTGTCGGGAATGAAGTCGCATAAATATGAGCGAACCGAATTATAACTTTTGGAGCGTCAACGTTTGCTGAAGGCGTCACTAGCAGATGTCATATAAATGCCGTTGGACTCTTCATAGTGCGTTACTCGTTTTACGAAAAATTAAAAAAAAATTCAATTTCAGATTTTTGACAATCTCCGTTCGTGGTGAAAAAATAGCGCGAAAGTCTCGTATCAGTTCCAGCATAAAACGACCACGTGAACGATCGGTGGCAACTTTGAATGAGGCAAACGTTGCAAAACGTTTGCTTATACGGCTAACTTGTTTCATAGGTAGTTTTCCTTTTGCGTCGCAATTTTAAAAATCGTCTAATTCGATTTTCTGAAAAAAAAATTTTTTTGATCATCGACCTCGAGATTTTTTCTCAAGAAAATGTTGAAATTTCGTAATTCTTTTTTGTACCTCGCTATTGGGACTCACGCACAGGCGCGTAGGAATTTTGCAGCGCACACTCGGTTCGGGCAGTGAGAGCAGGCCAAAGTGTTGGCCTACCTATATAATACTCGCACAACAAGCGAGAATGTATACATATGCTACTTCTATGCACGCAGTACGTTATACCTATGCACGCGCGCGCTCGATTCTGCATTGAAAAATCTGCAGCAGGTCGTTGGCATTGCTCTGCTGCAGTTCGAGAGAGAAAGAAAGATTAGTGCACACAGTCGAGAGCCTCGAAGGTGGGAGAGATACGAGACATATATATACACAGCAGCGGATGTTCTCTAGAGCCAAATGCAACAAGAGCGAGGAGAAACAAAGAGGCGAAAAGAAAAATTGTTGCTCCATATTTCTCGCCGCCTATATGCAGCCGCGTATTTTCTCTCTCATATACTTACACCCATACATAATACGGCCAATGTTTACATTGCGCATAAGCGCGTTCACGTCAATCGATTCCTTTTTTTGCTTTCCTCGACAATAAATAATTTAAGCAAAATCGTGAATGCGCGATTTTTCCTTTCTAGTCGCACTTTCTTTTTCTACTCTCCCCCTACCCGTGCACCCCGCACACAGGTGTATCGCGAACTATTGGGGCACACGCATAGATCTTGTAATCGTGCTTCGTTGTATGCACCGCCTTCGTCGCGTGCCATGTAAATTCACAAAAATGAATGATTTTTTTTTCTTCGTTACATAACTCTGGAATCGGCCCTTTAGGATTAATCTTTCGATATCTACATCTATTTATTTATGCTTTACTTCTTTATATTCAAGATCTCGCTCGCGTTGTTAACGCGGTGAGACTGAAATAATCAATGGTTATGAACGTTTCCCCAATAAATATTCCTTTTCGTTTATCGCTTTGTCACAATATTGTTTTTCTTTTTTTTTAAGTAGAGACTCAAGGTGGATTCAGTGACGAACGAAAAGGTCTAATTCAGATCTTTGAAAAAATAACATACACGTTAGGAGATTTATGAATTTTTATGCATGAGTGCGTACGTACGCGTTATATGATCCGTTTAACTTTGGCGGAGATTTAAAGTTTTGAATTACTTATTCGTTTAACTAATTTATATATTAAAAAATAAAATTTAATTGCCCTTAACTTTAAGAAATTAACCATTTTTTTTCTCACGTATCATTAACGGCAAAATATTTTATTGATCCAACCTGATCTAATTTATAAATACTAATGTAATTTTAATTTTATTTGCGCAGAATGGAAGAAGTTTTTTCATCAGAAATCAAGCGCAGTTCGCCCGAGAGTTGCTTCCACATTATTATAAACACAACAATATGGCTAGTTTCGTCCGTCAATTGAATATGTGTAAATATTTTTACTTCTATTTTCATTCATTTATTAACACCCTAAGAAATTTAAATAATGAATTTTTTCATTGAAGATGGCTTCCACAAGAAAGTGTCAGTTGAACTTGGAGGCTTGAAATGTGATAGAGATGAGATGGAATTCGCTCATCAATACTTTTGTAAAGATCACCCTTATTTATTGGAAAATATTAAACGAAAGGTATGTAAAATTCTAGCTTTTTTTTATCAAATTATTATGATTTAGACAACATTTTACATTATGACTTTAAAATTCCAGATTGCTTCTAATAAAACTTCTGCAGACCCATCTCAAGCACCAATTCGACCAGAACTAATGAATAAAATGTTAACAGAAGTGAGAAGTATGAGAGGACGTCAAGAGCATTTTGATACTCGACTTGGTGCCATGAAACGAGAAAATGAAGCTCTTTGGAGAGAACTTGCTATAATGAGACAGAAACATCACAAGCAACAACAAATAGTGAATAAGCTTCTCAACTTTCTCATGTCTTTTGTACATAATAGAAATACTGGTTTAGCTATGAAAAGAAGGTACCCACTTATGATTGATGATGTCAAAAGACAAAAGGCACCCAAAACAAAAATTGCCAAAGAGCAAAATTCACCCTTAGGTCCTGCAATTCATGAATTAGATACCTCTGATCCAGATTTCGATCCTGAGTACATTGTAGCAGAGTATGTATTCAAATATTTATTTTTAAACAGTTGATAAACAAAAAATTTTTAAATCATTGGTATTCTAGCATTTTGGATAATGATCATCCTCCAACAATAGAGAGTCCAGAACATCAAAATGAAGAATCTATGAGAGACTTTTATGATGAAGAATCAATTCATTTACCTCAAGAAATTGAATTGTGCCCAGAAATGAATGATGGAAGAAAGAGATTTAAAGGCAACAAAAAGTAAGTCAATTTAATAATTTTAAAAATTAAAATTTTTTATTAATGCGCTCAAAAAACCATGCTAAAAAGTTTGTTAATACTAATCATCAATTTTGGATCTTCATATGAAAATAGAATTCAATCATTTTAAGTATATCATTTTTCCATCCTTAAAAAATCATCGATTCACCAACCATTGTGTAAGCTTACATTTTAAATTATCCCTTGAAATGTTTGTTTAAACAAGTACTTGCATTAATTACAAAAAAACATTTTTTAAACTGAATTTTTTTTTAAATTTTTAACAATTAAAAAAATGTTCCAAGTTTACAATTATTAAATGTGAATTTTGTTAGGAGGAAAAGTAAAGTGCCAATCAAAATTTTGGTTCCATCCTCAGAAGATGGCGAAGAAACAAGGTTAAAATTTTTTTTTTTTTATGATTGTGAAGTTAGTGCTTTTGAATTGAAAATAAAGTAATTTTTTTTTGTTTATTTTGAAAATATAAAAATATCCAACAGTAGCGATTTCTTTCAAAAAATGCAATCTGCATGTCTTTTAAGTAATATTTTTAAATTCTGTAAAACAGCAAACTATTCAATTAATAAATGTATGTAGGTATTAAAATATATTTGAAAAAATTATTGATTTTATTGATAGCTATATTGTAACAAAATTCTTCTGAATTCGGTCACTATTTTGTGAGTTCTTAGTTATTTGTAATTCTTATTATTTACTATCTATGCTTAAAATATGTTTTGTTTTTAACGCTTTAATAGTATTTGCACTCTTGCATTACATTTGCATGATCACACACTCTATATCAAGCTTATATTGCACTCTTTTCTAAATTATAGATGCATATTCAAAGTTATCTACATGTCATAAGTATTTTCAACACACCTGTGCTTTTTTCATAGTTTTTTGTTCTATACATTTTGAAATAAAATGAAAATGTTGGCTTTTATAAATTCTAATAGTTAATATGCTGAATGATTTTTTGTCAATATACATGAAAAGAATCAATTTATTCAATCCATTCTTACCTTCTTATAGTATATATTGTAGTCAACTTTAATTAACTATTATTTCCACCATAAACATTCAAATTTATTGAAAAATTTTTCAATTTTTTACAGGGAAGAAACAGTACTGTTAGAAGTACCAGACCATCATGTACAAAAAGTCAACAATTCAGTTTCTCCAATGCACATAGGTGTAGAAAAAACATCTAAAGTTAAACCAATAGGTAAACCAGTACCAGCCCAAACAGTTCGTAGCTCAAAACTAGCTGCAATGGCAGCTAACTTAAATGCCAAGAACAATCAGCAAAAACATCAACAAAAGAAGCAAAAAAAACCTGTTATTAAAGTAGAAGATTATTTGGCGGTCCCTGATATCTTGAATGAAAACTATAGTCCACTGTTTGATGATAATGCCAGCACTGCTGCATCAAGTGTCAGCAGCCTTAGCACCAACAATGGCAGTCCATCTGCTAACAGTCCAGAAAATAATTTTTCTAGTGGTTCTTTTGGTAATCTTGATTTTATCGAGGCCGCCATAACTCAACAGCAACAACAACAGCAGCAGCAGCAGCAGCAGCAGCAGCAGCAGCAGCAACAACAACAACAACAACAACAGCAACAACAACAGCAACAACAGCAGCAGCAGCAGCAGCAGCAGCAGCAGCAACAACAACAACAACAGCAACAGCAACAGCAACAGCAACAGCAACAGCTTCAACAACAACTAGAGCAACTGCAGCAGCAACAGAAACAACAATCGGAAGAGGACCAGAAAACCATGACATTAAGTTGTGTTAATACAAGTGGGACAAATGAAGCTACCTACAGGTTAGCATCGGTGTAAGTTCAGCACAGTCCATATTTAAAGGGTTCATGAGCACAGGGTTCTATTTAATCGTTGGTCGAGAGCGCATACTATACAACGCATTGTGCTCCTAATAATTTTTTTTTTATCACAAAGGTGGTATTTTTCTAAATAACGTTTCACAAATAAGTTTTTTAAGCTTATTATTCTGTTGATTCTGATCACAATTTATCTGCTTCATTGAATTTTCTTTTCTACCCATGCTTGCACGTTAATTTGTCATTCGTGTTTTTTTAAATTTTATTATACTTATCAAAAATAGTTTGATGAATCTTCGAAGTTTTACAAAAAAGTTGCTTTACTGACTGGTCAATAATGATCATAACATTTAAAACAGTCGATATTTCATCAAATTTAATTTTTATAATAACTTAGCTTCACATCATTCTTTATATCTAACATTTTATTCATGGCTTAATGTGAAAATTATAAAAATTTTAAAATGTACTAAAATTTAGAAATACAACTCATGAGTTAGGACTCTAGATTTCAGTATGATTTTAAAATTTTTACGTTTTCCGAAACAAATTATCAATTATTTGTATATTTGTGATCGTTTTATTAATGAAGAGAGTGAAAAAAACCCAGTGACAGTGGTGATAAATAGGTTTATGTTTTCTTACGAAACACTGATTACTGAGCTACAACTAGTTAGAAAAACCACAGAGTTTCCGTCCGCGTATATGTACATTCGTTTTTTCGTGTAGCTTGATGAGCAGTGCTTTCATATGAAAATGATATCTATTATTATAATCTGTTTATCGCCATGTATCAAGTTTCTCCATGTTGAGTCTTTGTTATAAACAATTTTTCTATAATTTTTTTCAATTCAAACTCGACAGATTAGGGACTTTTGATAATTTTAACAATGAATTTTACTTAAAAATTTACTCGTAATGTTTTCAACAAAAGAGAACGCTCTCCAAATTATTTAAAACCATTTAAGACTTGATTCTCCTCACAGTATCTGAATTGAACTTATTATTATTTTATTATTTGAGAAGTTTTTAGAAATTTTTAGGATTTCAAATCTCGTCGTTCCCCGAGTGCCTGGATACGTATAATCTACGTTCTTAATCTGGTAACAAAAAGCTTAGTCGTACCGTCAAACATACTTGACTAAGTTCAACATACGATTGATAACTCAACGTACTCTTTAAAGAAGAATGCGCTTTTAATTATTCATTTATTATTTATTTTATTTTAAACTAATGACAAATGGACATGCCCCGCTCGGTTTTATGAATTTGTAGATTGAACTCAAATTTATTTTCGATTTATGAATTATTTACAGCACGATATGTGTCAGTATAAAATGTTTCAGGTTTTTTAGATTGCCACTGATAAAATCTTCATAATAAGTATGTGACCTCTCATTAAACGATTAAAAATGGTTCTCTAGTTTTTCATTTACGTACGAATTATGAAACATGTTTTGAAATCCCAAATGTATAGTTTTCATTTATTATCTATGAGAAAAATGGGTCACTAATTATTTTTCATGCTGTAAAACATGTTCGATGCAACATCATATCAAGCACTGCTTTTAATGATAAATTCTGTTTTGTTTTGGTGACATATCCTATTTTCCATTTTGATTAAATTTTCACTCAATTACGTAACATAAATCGCGCGTCTTCGTCCAAATAATTTATTTTCTTTACTATATACGATTGGGGTTTACATTCACGTTAGCGAATTGGAACCTTGCATAAATAACTGCTTCGAATTTTTTCTTTTTTCCTCTCTAAATACAGGAATGAAGTCGACACTCATCTCGGATCGGTGCAAAACGAACTGGATAATCTGCGCGATATGTTGAGAGGCGAAGGTTATAGCATCGACGCAAATACTCTTCTAGGAGTGAGTAACTTACTAGCGAAAAACGTAATTATAAAAAAATTAAAAAAAAAAAAAAATAGCAGTCGGAATCTTTTAAAGACTTTCATGGTGTTCTATTTACGGTATGAAATATCTTTTTGTAATAATTTCACAAAATCATTACAGAGCTTTCGAGCTTTTACTTCCATAAGCACAACCAATGTTTACTGATGGTTGCCATTATATAAAAATTCATTATCATACTGATGTATATGTTACATTTTGAACACTTTTTAAGTATTAAAACCTGTCGAGCTGAAAATCGTTTGTTCTTTAAATTTTAACAGAAACTCTGTGGAATCTTATCAATTCAATGTTTAAAAATTTAAGCATCTGAAAAATAGCACGCCATCACTTTGACAGACTATTACCGGAATGAGTTTTCAAAAAAAAAAGTTGCATTTAAAAATCGCGCTTATACTTTTAATAATCACATCCTAAAAGTTGGTAACTGAAATTCAAAACTTTGAACGCGTTTTTCTCAACAATATGTTTTTGTGCACTGGGGCTACTTGTCTAATTTCCACTAAGTTTTCCACACTAATTTATTTACAGACGCAGACACTTAAAACTTTCGTCACTTTGTTTTCTTGATCCAATGTTCATTCTATTAATAAATAAATGTGTCTGATTAGCAAATAAAAAAGTGTTCTTAAAAAATTCGGTGAGGACTCAACGAGTAGATCCGGTAATTATTTGTCCGCAATTAAAAAATGATTTTTCAGGAAGACTGTACATGCTTAGAGAAAAGACTCAGAAAAGAATTGAATTTTTTTGAATGCTTTTTCCTACAATGAAAGGAAAATTTACTATTTATCATGCAAAATGCCTCATTCATGATACTTTTCCTCTTTGTTACGATTTTCCACTTTTGCGTATTTAATTAATGCGTGAACCAGCCACTCTATCGTTTGGATCGCAATTATTCACTAAAAATGTGAAGGGAACCACACCTTCCAAAATTATCGTTTGATATAAAATTAGGCTCATAAATAAGCTTGCCTTTGTGAGTCTCGGTAAATGAATAAACGAGTTAACGTTTCGTAATAGTCTGTATTAGAATCAACTTGATAAAAATGGACTCGCAACATAAAATCCAAACTTTGAATATAAAATTAATTTCATGTTGCATGATAAAAAAATAATTGTCACATAAGTTTTTTCACTTGGCTAATAAAACGGTACATTTCATGAGCGAGGTAGAGCATTTTGCGTAATGTAATGTTGATTTTTCTTTTCGGGTACCGTTAACATCGTGCAAAAATTTGCGTGTAAAAATTTGATTGAGAAGCCAAAAAAAAAAAAATCGAAAACTAACCTTTTTAAACTTTTATTCGGGTAATAGTCGCTTTATGCATTGAAAGCATTGCTTAATTTTTGATTGAAATAAGGAGAAAAATAACTTTGATTCCGCTCAACAGCCTGTTAAAGTTGACAATTATAAATGATGTTTAAATTTTTATATTATTAAATAAAATTAAACGAATTCTTCCACTTTTTAGCTCTTCGGAAGTGATGACCCTTTGTTATTTGGTATACCAGTTAATCCTGAATTAGATCCTCATGCAAACCAGGATAAAGATCATAATGGTAAGGAGTTTTATTTGCCATGTAAGTACACAGCTATGATTTATTATCGAAGAATAAATAGTACATTTTAACTTTGCAATGTAAGCGACATCAATGTGTATTTTTATTTTATCATATTGGGTGCGGTTGCACATGTATATAAAAAGAAATGAGAGACACATGTCCAAAAATATCTGGTCAGTGGACTCACGTGTTTTTAAACTTATATGCACGAAGGTCAACTCGTTCTTGAGAAAAATATACTCAATTTTTTTCTTAAAAAATTTTTGTAACATACGCCAAATATCGATACAAAAGCTCATTTTTGCATAATAATTCGTCCATCCAAAAATTTGCAGAGATAAATAAAGAAAAATCGAAGACAATTTTTCATAGCGCGCGATTTTATCGGTTTACTGACGGATATTAGTATTTTTTACGAAAATAGTAAAATCGAAAAAAATAAATATCAACTATTTATTCATAATAGTAGTAAACTTTTTTGAATTTTGTAGAATCAGTATGTTGTTTACATTTATTTTAATTTACATGTCAATTGTACGTACCTTATTTATGCTGCAAACAAAAATTATAATCTTTATTTATTTCAGATCAATATCCTATCGCTAACAATAAAGAATTGACGCATTACGATTCCGAATCAGATTTATTGAATTTCGATGACGATATGTTTCTGAATGGTGGAGCAACAGACTCTTCTATGCAACAAATGGCGGCCGATGCAACGAATAGCAACAATCTCGAAGTAGATTCCAAGTCTAACATCTACGATTCTCTAATATCAGCTAATCAAGATCAGACGTGAATTGATTGATTCGATAATTGGTAAGAAACTTATGACTTATAGTAATTTTTTTTTCATTTTCATTTGTTTGCCTGTACTTTAAATATTTAATTACTTTGATTTTTAAAATATATACTAATTAAATTTATGTGCTGAGCGCCTACTTTATAAAAGAAAAAATGATTTTAACTATAACAAATAGCGATAATTTGATTGGAGAGGAGACATATATATTTTATTGAAAATTTAATTCAAACAAAAATTTTATTCCATTTTAATTGTTTTATTTTTGTCACAAACAAAAAAAATTATTAGAGCATACAATTCTTTTGCAGGGGAGAAACTTTCACTTATAAGCAGTGGCTAAATAGACTTATCAGCAGGTGCATACCGGGCACTCACAGCACCTGAATAAATTGATTATATTGTAGAATGACGCATGCCGTTCAGACGTATTAAAGTATTTTCAAAAAAAAAAAAAAAAAAAAAAAAACGAAGCTTCTACTATGAGAGAATCTCTGTAGTGCGATGTTATTGAATTCTGATCAGTTCATTGAATTATCAAACATTCTATTACTGTTTTATCGAACATAAAAACCATCAGGTTTATTTCATAACTAAGATGTATTAATTTGTTGTATAAAGAGTTACTATTAATATATGTTTATAATATTGTTCTTTTCGATACAAAACATGTAGAACAATTAATTTAGTTCTGTTTGTATTGATTAATTAAAATAACTTTGTTGAACTCACGTCTTAAAATTTAAAAGCTATTTACTCGGCGTTGTAATTATACAATTGAATAATGTAATTTTGCTTTTATAAAGCACACAATTATTCATCTCAAAATCAAATTTATTACAAAATTGTTATAATAACGCATTGATAAAGTAGCGCGCAGGAGACTGATTAATATTAATACTTTCTTTGAAAAAAGTACAAATTATGTACATAGTTACAAAAATTATCTGTGACATTATTTTAGTTGATTAATAAAATAAGGCTGTTGATTACTCAACTCGGTTGTTAATTTCGTAGTGATGTAGATGATATTGATAGACGCAGAAATTTATAAGATGCATTCTTCGACTTGTCAAAAAAAAATATAATTATAACTTAAAACTACAACGACGAATCTAATATTTTTGTATTTCTACATAAATAACTATTACGACGAAAAAAATTTGTATGTACATTTAGTACAGTTTACGATTTTCAAATTTGGCATTGAACTTTTATATTTAAATTAATCACCAAATAAAAAAGATCTGTCAAACTAACATTTTGTGAAAATGTTGATTTCAGCGTGTGATTTAAACTGTTATTTTATTCATTTTTATCTTGTTTTTTGTAGTTTTTAACCGAAAAAGAGTATGTATAACAATGAAGCCTTCTTATTATTTTCTAATTAATTAATGACAATTGACCAAGCTTCAATGATGGACTGTGATCCTGATATTTTGCCGGTGTTTGCAATTCATCTTAACATAATCGCAAAGAACAAATAATCTAAACTATTCAATGAATTTAATTAATTATCTATGTTTTATTTTCTAGTCATTGAAGAGGAAGACATTTTACTCTACCTAGAGATGGAATGATTTCTAGGAAGATTTTTAATTTCTAACTTACATAATTTAAGAGTTAAATTGTAATATGTATAGATTCTTTTTCTTAAGAAAACATGTACCATTAATTAGGTAAAGGTATTTTATGAAATGCAAGGAGTACACTTTAAATAATTGAGTTCGACGCTTTTACAAAATTACAAACAAAAATTTTATAATAAAAATTGCAAGTTCGATTTAAAAGAATGATAATACCATAAAAGTTAAAGTAAAATATGTTCACAGAAGCTTTACATTTTTTAACTTTTTCTCGTAAAAAATTATGTATAAACCTGTCCGCAGATTTATGAATTTGGCTATTGTTAGTGATAGATGCACAAATAAAATTTTAAAAAACATTTTATTGATTTTATTCCACAAAATGATTTTATTATAATCGGTTGCAATTAAAATCCAAAAATTTTAAACAATAACTATTATAACTCATAAAAATTACAGTGTAGTGATTTTCATACTCAATGATTTTAAAGTCATTTTCCAGTAGTTTATTCATTAAAACATTAAATTTCTCTCGTAGTTGTACTGCGTCATCTAGCCTATATACATTTTTTAAAATTATTAGATCCTATGAATATGTTTATGCTAATAACTTCATTTTTCTCCTCAATTATTTCAGTAATATCGAAAATGAGATTCAATATGACAATGATTATTTACTATTCTTTCCATAGCACAATTAAGTGATATTAAAATAGTAAAAATTATACCAAACTTACGCTAATATCTGCGATGATACGATTTAGCATGAGTTAGTTCATTGTACATTTTGTAAATAAATCAAGAACGAATAACTTGTGAACTTAAAGATTGTATAATATTCAGAAAAATGATAAAAATGGGTTTTAAAAAAGCTAAATAGATAGACCCACATTGAAAGAATGAAAAAAATTATATTTATATATAAATATTAGTATAATTTTTATTTCCCAAGATTTCTACAAAGTAATAAGAAATTTGAATATTATATTTAATAATCAAAAATATAATTTCTTGGTTTTGCGACTTAATATATTAAATAATAAGTCACCAGATTGATATTTACTTTAATAAATGGGCTTACACTACTGTATCCAACTACAAAGATTTTTAAATAATTGACTTATTTTAATTCACTGATAATACCGTAAGCATTGCTAAAATGATTACTGTTACTTTGACGTATTTTGTGAATACGTGAGTCGAAAACTCATTAAATTGTTATGCTAACTTGTTAAATTAGTTTAAAATGTAATTATTTCCTAAAATTATTATCGTAGTGCGATTTAAAACTTCCACTATAAGTTATATTTTAAAACTAAAATAATCTTCTACTTTACATATTTTTATTCGGTAATCTTAATTATTGTTTTTTTTCCGTCTCGTAAAAACCTGTTGTTTATAATTGATTAAATGGAAATCAAAGTTCTGTTCAATTCGTTAAGTATATTAATATTGCGAAGTTAAATTCATAATTGAAAATTTCTGTTATGATACGAAAAATATTGTAAGGTCAAACATTTTTCAAACTGAGCATGTAAAAATCATTTTCGAGTAATTTCATGAAATTGTATTGAGCAAAATATTTTAAATTGCTCAAAAATTATTATTACCTTTAGCATAAAAACATGTAAGAAAATGTATCTTGAAGATATTATTTATCTTTACTACTTTCTATAGTAGCAGGTGAAAGATTAATCTAAAAAATTATAATGTAAAAAATATTAATGATGTAAAGAAAAATAAAAAAAGAGAATCACTCAACTAAGCTTGTGTTTCAAATTAATTACGAAAACTAGTTTTGGTAACAATAACTTTTATTAATAAATTTAAGATACACTTAACCGTCATTATATATACAAATGAATAACTGAGACAGATAATTTAGAGTTCATAGCATTATGCTCATTCAAACTTGAATGATAGTTGGTAACCATTTGAATTTACCCTTGTGTCTCCGTGATAAATCGACTAACAATTTTCATATTCATACCATATTCCCTGTAAAATTCTTATTCATTCAAAAACAGTTGTAACAGTTGAGAAAGGAAGGATTGGATGAGTAGCCTCATTCTGAAGAGCAGTTTCAAAACAATCAGCTGCTGCTTCATGTTCTTCGAGTGATTGTAGAACTACACCTAAATTATACCTACACAGAAAGATACATATTTTTAATAAAACCTTTACAATACAAAAAATGATATGAATGAAATTATGTTATGTCCTACCATGTTACATAATCGTATGGATCAATTTTAGTAGCATCCCTCAATATTTTCTCAGCCAGTCGGGTCCAGCCAAGGTGATTATTTACCATACCCTAAAAATAAAAGAAAATAAAATGAAATAAAATAATATGAGAAGTAACACTTATTAAAAACATTATTTACCAAATTTTGAAGGCTCTTTACATGCACTGGATTAATTGCTACAGCATTCATATAAGATGTTTTGGCTTCTTCATATTCCTTTTTGAAATCATGCAGCAGTCCACGCTGAAATTTTTTTTTTATTAATATACATTCATGTACATCTTTGAAATTTTAGAATTTTAAAAATACTCAACAGTAAACATGATGTGATGACTCATTGGAAATATATTAGATGCTTCTTGTATTGACAATGTAGCTTCCTTAATATGGTCCAATGCAATAAAAACTTCGGCTAATAATAACCATACTTCTAATTGTAATAACCAGGCTTTTTGGGGACCAGTTCTTGGAACAAAAGAGCTTAATGAGGATGCTACTTCTGATAAAGCTTGTTCAACCCTAGATGCAGCAAGCGATTGAGCTCTTATTGAACCTAAAATTTGAATTTTATGATAAAATTAAATTGATATATAATGGAATATTTATTTATCAAACACAATGTTTTATTTTGTTACTAACTAGAATCTTTATCTGACATTTCCGATGAATACATTTGAAAAACACTTCTTGTTTCACTACGTCTTTCACTTTGTTGTTCTCCTTCAGAACTCATTTGACCTTCATATAATTGTTTCCATAAATGAAGCATATGTTTAATGGTAAATAAAGCATCTTCAGCACTAAAAACACGCAATTCTAATGTAGCTTTGATGTATAAAAATTTCATATTGTCCGGAAATTCTTCTAGAATGCTTTTGATTAAGTCCATTGCTTCTTTATATTGTTTTTGGGCAGTAAGTAATAAGACTAATAATTGTAAGGATGGAATGTGTTCTGCTCTTAAATTTAATGCAGTTTTAACATGTATCATTGCTTCTGTTAATTTTCTATTTAAAGCATATTCTCTAGCCAAATAGAATTCCGCTAGGTGATCATTTGGATCATTTTGTTGAGCTCTAGAAAGTTATTATATCAGTTAAACATCATAGTAAATGTATTGAGTAAATTTTAAAAACAATAACTTACTTATTAAAAGCATCAAACGCCGATTGACTGTACTGTGCTTTTTCTTGCTTAAGATTTGTATTGGCACAACGTAAACTGTATCCAATCCCAATAAAAAGATGACACCTAGCCACTAGTCCTTGAGGATTGGTAGTTTCTCGTGATAATGCTGACTGACTCCATTCAATCCCTTCAGATATCTTTTAAAAAAAGTATACTTTTATTATCAAATTATTTTATGGGCAAGTTTATTTTCATACTTTGTTCAAATGTTCATAACACAATCTTGCAGCTAGTAGACAAGGAGCTACTTTCTGGGGAGAAAGTTTTATTGCCATTTTTAATACTGCAAATCCATGAACATAACTTCCAAGATGGATTAGACTTAAAGCATATTGTGTCCATGTATGCACTTCTCCATGAGAGAATTTCATAGCCCTTTCCAATGACTAAAATTTATAATATTTCAATAATTATTGAGTTTTTTAAAATTAATATTAAAATTTTATTATTAATACCTCTTGCAAAAGTTCTACTTGATTCCATCTTACAACGCAAACACAAAGTAGATCATAAATAGCACAGGCATTTTGATAAGCTCGTACTCTAGCCTCTTTGAATTCTGGTGATTGACTGAGAACAGCATTTTTCCCTGCCATGGCTTCACAGATTAATAGTAGTAAAATTAATTCTTCATATTCATTTTTTGGAGTAAACAAGGTAATTCCACCATATCTCTTTGGTTTCCAGGGTGATTCAGTTGCACTTGACTTTTTTGTTGCTATTGTAGGGGCTAAATAATTTTTTGTATCTTCAATTTAGAGGGTCATATTAAATTTTTAAATTATATTTTTAATTTCTAAATACCTGAGATTTCTGGCACTGTATAATTAATCCCCTTTAAGCCTCTCAATAATACTTCTGCTAACTGACGAGCTAATGTTAGTCTTAAACTTTGCGTGGCTGTAGTTTCAAGAGCTGATAGTAAGTTTCTAGAAATTGCCAAATAGTTAGACTAGAAGAATATAGTTAAAAAATGACTTTTCTCTGTTTATTTATGCAGCCTACCTGTAACAGTCAACTGCTTCTTGAATATTTCTTGCTTGAATGTGAATGAGAGGAGCCCTTTGCATCGCTGTTTCTAATATAGGTCCCATTTGTTTTGTTGGCTGTACAGTAGTTTGTGGAGATGAAGATCCTTTGGAAATGAAAAAAATGATCAAAATAAATGTAATTTCAAAATTAGTAAATTTTATTTAAAGCTCACCAAGGTTAGAAGTACTATTTATTGTCAAAGTTCCATTTTGCTGTTGCATAGTAACTTTGTCCTGCTCTTGTAAGTACACTAAAGTGATATTTGAAGCTACCTCATAACATTTAATCATTTGGCTATGCCATTCTGCAACTTTATACTTTGACTTGGAAGTGGGAGGTAGTTTTTCTAAGCATAATCCCTTAATAGCAAAAGACTCAGCAACAATACGTAAACTACGACTTGGTAACTGCTTTTCTGTAAGTGACTGCAGATCTGCCTCTTGATAATGAACAAGTGATTCACTATACATTCCCATAGCATAGTGAAGTTTTCCTAATAACAATTGAGCGTCCAATGCCACAGGTGCCTAGAATTTATAAATTGACATCTTGAATATAGTCTTTAATAGCAAAGTTCACAGATCAGTTACAATACTACTTACTTGTTTGTCTTTCTCACCAGCAGCCAAAAGAAGATACTTTTTGGCTTCCACTAAGCCTGTTTGAGCTTTGGCTACATTGACATCAATCGGTGGTGTTTGCTCCAGAAATGCCTCTAGTCTAGCTTCACCTCCAAGGAAATGAGCCAAGCATTCTACCATTACGCAACCACAAGCACAAGTTTATTCAATTTACATAACAAAAAATCATTCATATTAACAACAAAGTATTTTGCAATCTAAATGGGTAATAAATAATTTACCAGCTCCTGGGGATGTTGATTTAAGCTGCTCGGCTAGTTCGATGACCTTTTTCCAGTTGTTCTCCTCACGATTTTTATCGATTTCAGCCTCAATTCTCCAGGTCTGTCCTTTCTTGCTGGTCATGTTGTTAAAACGATCTCGATGTCCACGAACAGAAAGAAAATCACGAGACAATCAAGATGACTGTCTCAGCGTCAACAACAATACCGCATGACAGCTAAACAGGCATCGAAAAAATAGTATACTCGGATGCAGAAGGCTTGGCCGCCACGGTACACGCCGACAACGAACACCTGCTGGTGTGTATGCGTTGATGTGAATTTGCGTATTGTGTATTATAGATGCCAGGCCAATTCCCTGAATACAGCCAATGCACTGCTTCTAATACACGAGTGTGGCACGGTATCGACTTGAGTTAACTCACAAACTCTGACACAAGAGCTTTAAAAATCAATCGCCACTTCGCGCTGACACTGACTATGCCTACTGCTTTTTAATGCTGCGTCGTGGTTTGAACTGTGCTCTGTCTCTACAACATACTATGACGGGTAAATAATATACTATAATGATGACTATAGTTCTTCTGTAGTTTTCAGCAACTCTGCGATTTAATTTTCTTTCGTGTCAGGTGCACCATTATCGAAGACGTCGTGCATGGCGTGCGTCGTCTGCGAGAAATGACAACTGCTTTACCAAATCATAACCCATATGATGTGTTATGGATTTGTCCACGGAATACGGATGAAATTCTCCACAGGCAGTGTCTGCAGTAAAATTAGTCTACTATTATCGACAATGCTGATTAGCTATAATTGCATCGGATTTTTGCAGATACCCTCAGATCAGAAGATCAGGATCCATGCATCAGATTTCTTTTTTTTCGTCTCAACACTTGATATTATTTCTGTGTACGATGTGATTACTCAATTTTAATTATTCACATTATATAGGGTACACTTGTAATGAGCTCGGGCTTCGTGCAGGGTTGTAAAAATTGAAATCAATTTTCGATTTGAATGCATTTCAATTCACGAATCAAATTGATTTATTAATCAAATTTGGTTTATATTTTTCATGATTTGAAACAAATTTCACATCTCGAATTTCTTTGAGTTTTTCAAGCTCTGGAAAAAGTAAAGTCTCACTGTGTGTAAATTAGACTAATTCAAAAAGATCTAAGATCTTCGAAACCTCGATTTTACAATCTTAGTGTCCTCAATATGCCTAAGAATGAAGCCCCAAAAATTTCAGCTCATTTTAATAATTTTTACTGGTCGCTCAAAGAGCATTTTGATTTCCGATTTAAACAAGATTGAACAATCTATTTTTTTCTTTTTAAATGTCTAAGCCAACCCTAAAAAATTTAACAACTACGAACACGTATTACGATGCTAGAAAGTTATTTCATTATCTTTCAGAATCCGGCATCAAAATTTAGATTGATGCATTATTTCAGATGCTATATACATAAGCAATTTTGTGCCGAAAAACGCGGTTTTTGCGTAAATCGAGAAAAGTGTATTTGTTTCTTCTATAAAAAAATGGCTCAGCACAATCACCCATGTGAAAGAAATGTCAATGCATTGTTTGATAGGTTATTTTGTCTAATTATCTTTCTAATGCCGTATTGAAGTAAAAATTCTTTATTTAGATTTTAAAACGGGTTTAATTTCTGTGACATCGCCATGAAAAGCCGATATCTTTTAATCAATTCATATAAAGCTCAGCGCCTACAGACTGCTACACCGCCTTACATCATCGGCAGATTCGTCATTCAAAAACTTCTGAGCTTTCTGAAACTTTTAAAAAGGCTTTGAATTGTTTTATGCATTTTAATTAATAAAATGCAACTCCATAGATTTCCTACAATCTTTCTTTCCGTAAATTGTTAACAATCTTAACAATTATTTATGATATATCCTTGAATAGATTTTATACCTTCCTACGACACGCAAGTGATAGTATGCAGCAAAGTGCAAGTGAATAGTTTAAAACATTGGTACATTTTAAGATAAGTAATAATTAACTATCATAATTTGAATATTGAATAATTAATACTCAAGCTTATTATGAATGAAAGAAGGAACATGGGTGGAAGAGAATGACTAATGTCACACATACGCGTTCGGGATCATAATTAAACCATCGGTAGCTTCCAGCACGCAACCCTTTGTTTAAAATAGTCTTGAAAATGTACATGAATAATTAGCTCAGTCTCGACACAACTCGATGCCGATACACTACCGTGTGACGCTTTCACCCGCACGTTCGTCCAATTCAACCACTTATATTCAAAACAAGATGTGAGTACAATAAATAATTCCTATAAATTAAATTCTACTTCTATCACTTTCCCTTCTCACAATGATTTCTTCTACAAATTATTACTATAAATATTCACTACAATTTACAATAAAAATGCTCATGTCGCCCCCGCGACGTGACAGAATTTTCATTATAATTTATAATAACAAATGCTCATGTCGCCCTCGCGACGTGACATTTCGCTTAAATGCAGCTGTTTTTGTAGCTGAAAACTCAATAGTTGCTCACCCGTACCAGTATTTACGTGCCGTTTTACAGAGTAGTTATTAACATTTTTCTTTTCACCCACTCTGCATTTTTAGAAGTTACCTAAAAAATTTAGAGTTTACCCGTCCCCTAAAATTTAGAGTTTTGCACATTCAACTATTTCAACAAATGTTTTCATTCTAGTTAAGAGATTGGATGGAAAAATTAGATGGGACCATAGTCTCAAAGAAATTAATCAATTTTGATGAGAGAGACACAAAAAACCGGAGTTGTGTATTTAAAGTCGATGTCAAATCGCACCATTATAATTATCGCCTAAAATTTAAAGTTTGCAAATTATTTTTCAAAGCACATTCAATTGTAGCTGAGAAAGTTTTCACTTCGGTTAGAAGAAGTGGATGTAATGATCTTGTCGAAACTCCGTTCGACAATAATTATTCTTATTGCGCACCATACACAGCGATTTCATGTAAAAACAAATACTCTACAATTATAATTCACGGAGAAATTATTTAAAATTGATACCGTAAACAATAACAAAATATACGAGAACCTGCGATGTAGGACTTTCAATGAGCAATCGTTACCGATCGTGACATACGCAAAGTCGCGTACAAATGTATAGACGTGCACTGCGGATCACGCCGCTTCTCAGCCACGGTTCCCGGGCTATATAAGCAGATATTGCGCTGGGCCGCTACGATTTTTACATGCATGAAAGTAAAAATTATTTTGTATTTATATTATTTTCATGTCTTATATTAGACTGTCCGTTATTTCCCGAATTGCTCCAATCCTCGCTCTCACCCCTTGAAAGCTCATCATTTGGCTCACAATGAAAGAAAATCACTGTCCGACCGCGATTAATTAACTCTAGATAGTGCCACACGCGTCAGCTTTTTTCCCATTTAAATAACATGGGGAAATTTAAAAAAAATGTAAATTGAAGTTTTAAACCACTTAAAATAGCTGATCCTTGGGGTTAGCGACGGTTTTCACTTCCTGGTACACCCATAATGAGTAACCAATACTTACGGAAACCCCCCGAAAAGAATTGTGGATTGTGCACACACGATATACTCAAAAAATGAAGAAAAACAGCATGTTGGCGTGGTTTTTCGATATTTTACAGCAAAAATAAGCATGAACGATCATCTTAAATATAATCACGTCAAAGTTGAGATCAAGACCTTTAATTTGAGGGTAATAAAATCTATTTACGTTCATCAGAACCAAAGTTACAGGCGTTTGAAGTTTCATTGAAAAATCAGGTATCGAATCTCGTCCGGCCGACCAAACGCGCGACTCGCGGCTCACTGTAATCGCAACTCGTACAAATGACAATGTAATTAAACTAGAAAAATAATTAAAAATATGGTTTTTATGCGTTTTTTTCTCAGCTTTCACGTGGTGTAGTCGGATTTTTCAATAATTTACACGTTCACTAGGAAAAATAGGAAATAAATGTTCAAGTCCATTTTTCCGTACGAAAATGAAAATTACTGAAAAATCCGACTACGCCACGTAAAAGCTGAGAAAAAAACGCATAAAAACCATATTTTTAATTATTTTTCTAGTTTAATTACATTGTCATTTGTACGAGTTGCGATTACAGTGAGCCGCGAGTCGCGCGTTTGGTCGGCCGGACGAGATTCGATACCTGATTTTTCAATGAAACTTCAAACGCCTGTAACTTTGGTTCTGATGAACGTAAATAGATTTTATTACCCTCAAATTAAAGGTCTTGATCTCAACTTTGACGTGATTATATTTAAGATGATCGTTCATGCTTATTTTTGCTGTAAAATATCGAAAAACCACGCCAACATGCTGTTTTTCTTCATTTTTTGAGTATATCGTGTGTGCACAATCCACAATTCTTTTCGGGGGGTTTCCGTAAGTATTGGTTACTCATTATGGGTGTACCAGGAAGTGAAAACCGTCGCTAACCCCAAGGATTAGCTATTTTAAGTGGTTTAAAACTTCAATTTACATTTTTTTTAAATTTCCCCATGTTATTTAAATGGGAAAAAAGCTGACGCGTGTGGCACTATCTAGAGTTAATTAATCGCGGTCGGACAGTGATTTTCTTTCATTGTGAGCCAAATGATGAGCTTTCAAGGGGTGAGAGCGAGGATTGGAGCAATTCGGGAAATAACGGACAGTCTATCTTATATGAATGTTTTTTTTGTGTTTTTTAAGATATATTTACACTCATACGAAAATGTTGTTCAATGGAATCTATTGAGATGATTGAGAGAGGCTCGTCAATACGAGCAAGAGTTAAACGAAATTGAGATTGAGGCTCTGGACAGGCCGGAAAACGCCTGGAATCTACGGGAATTATTTTTATATAATGAGGAATGGTTTACTATCGAAACCGGGACAAATACAATTAATACTGGAACAAAGGAGGAACCCGAATATAGAGAACATTTGTAACATCGCCATGAAAAGCCGATATATTTCCAATTCTTATAAAGCTCAGCGCCTACAGACGGTTACACTGCCTTACATCATCAACAGATTCGACAATTAAAAACTTCTGAGCGCGAAACTTTTAAAACAGAGCTTTGAATTGTTTCGTGCATTTTATAAATAAAATGCAACACTATGAATTTTATATAATTCTTCTTCCCGATAATTGTTAATAATCTTAACAATTATTTATGATATATCCCTGAATATATTTTATACCTTCTCCTAAGACATGCAGATGATAAGATGCAGCAGAGTTCAAGTGAATAGTTGATAGCATTGATACATTTTAAGATAAGTAATAATTAACTTTAATAATTTTAAAATCAAACGACTAAAGCTTATTACGAATGAAATAAAGAACATGGGTGGAAGAGAGTGACTAATGTCATATTTACGCGTTCGGATCATGTTAAACCACTGGTAGCTTCTACCACCCACGTAAAGCCTTTGTTAAAAAACAGCATCGATAATGCATGTAATAAGCTCAGTCTCGTCCCGGCCTCCAAACGAATCACTGCTCGATTCCACCCAGGTTCGATCAATCTGATCTACATCCATTTTACAAAATGTGAGTACAATAAATCATTCTATTAAACCAAATCTTATTACTTTTCTTTCCCTGTTACTATGCTTCTTTTTTATATATATTATAATAAAATATTTATGATACTATTAAAATCACTGACTCGTCACTGCAACGGTGCAAT